ATGTGCTTCGACATTCCAATCTTCATTTCGCTATTTTATCCAAATGGGCAACCAAAACCGTCGTACGAAAGTGCATGGTTAATGGTTGTAAAACTGAAACTGAAAACAGGTTTGTGGTTCGAGTAAACTCGCTTGGAACTACAGCTTTTTTGGATGTTTATCAAACATTTTCACATCTCTTGGAAACATGAATACACCTTATGGGCTCAGTTTCAAAGGACTCCAAATTAGTATCCAAATGCGAAGATCGTTTTCTAGTGTCTTCTTTTTGAATTGCTCCCTCTGTTCAATTAATTGTTAATTTCACAACATCTAACACCGAATCTCTGTTTACGAGCCTGTTTTTGACAATTTAAGGGAATTCCCCTATTTAAATGCAGGCGGTTTCTTTCGCATATTTCAATCTCCGTGTCTAACTTCATATGGTTTGCGCAGTAGAGTCGACTTCGTACCTCTCCCTTTTGTTTCCACCGTGTGTTGCTTAAGCTGGCTCATCGCGTTCGCGAGGCTGTACCGGACCTAGATCGATCTGTGTCGGAATCCCCGTCCGGTGTTCGAACCCTGTTCTATTTACTCGATTTGGCCACTTTCTTTGATTTGGTTGAGGCCGAACAGTGGCAAGCTGCACTGGACCACGTTGACCAGCTCGGTCTATTCCCAGCGAACGCGAAAGCTGCTCACATTGATGCACGTATTGCCCTGTTCACTCAGCTTCCCGATTGTATTCGGCGTCCGCTCCCGCTCGCCTTGTTGGCATTGATGCGATGCCTGATCGGCATTGCAAAAAAACACATGAACTCTCCGGAGTAAGTTTGTATTCTCTATTATGTCTCGTGTTTCGCCAGTTACATCAGTGTTTTTTTAATTAGATATCTTTGTGAAGTGGTTGCTGACCTTTTACGTGAAGCTTTTTCATGACTGTCGATTAAGGAACGACTAGTTAGCTTCCTGGGTATATAACAGGGTTCGTTCATTATTTTATTTTATTTTCTATCACACACCACTGTGTGATGAACAGGAGACGGGGCGAACCCCATGGTCACGAAGACCTGCTGTTCAGTGATGAAAACCGGTAACCTAAGTTCCAGGACTAAGAGTGACGAACCACATAAGGCCTCGATAGGTTAGGCGTGGTATCGAACCGGACGACAGTAAAGCTGCTTACCACCGAAGTTGGGTGGCGGTGGTATGGCTCAAACCTTGGACTACGAGGTCCAAAACACGCGGGTGACAGCGACTAATCCATTGCATCGCTACCAATCTAATCTCGGTTCCCGTAACTGAACTCTACGGGTCGAGTGTATACCTAGGCGTTTCATGTCGAGCTGCCCTGGGATCGCTGTCCTTCACACTAGCTGTTCTAGTCTCATGGAGATAATTATTTGAGCGCTTATTTCGACAGCTGGTCGCCGTAGCATTTGATCGGGCTACTCTAGGCAGTGATGCTGAATTCATAGTTCGGATAGGTCTTGATGGTTTAAGCTTCGTTGTTTGAAATCGAATCGCTTCAAGGGACACGGTTTGTTTTTCTGATGTTGCTGCGTGCCTTCAATTTCTTCTGATACCCTTTTTGCGCCATCAATTCGAAGGGCAGCAGTTCGCTGGGCAGATCGTTTCTTATTCGACCAGATTAGCAAAATATAAATTTTCGGCAGACTCCCGGTTCAGAGGGAGGAAAACACTTACGTTTTTCGGCTTGTTCTTCTCTAGTTCAATGTTGTTTTGAGATGGCTACGAGCAACTGAAACTGGACCGGTCGCATAACATGTGACACTCTAACTCCAGGTTGGAAATTCATAAGTAATTTTTTTTATCGCTTACGTCTGACCCGGAATAGACCAGCCGATACCGAGTCGGTTTTGGTACCTGTTTGCTCCACTTTTGGATAACAATCCGTGTGGGTGACCTGAACTAAATGAGATTTTTTATTTGGGTGGTGAATGTTTGGATTAGCCCATTCGGTTTTTTCACAGGCATCAGGCACTGTTGATCATGTGGGATGGGTGTGAATTTCACTCCTTAGGAGATCGTTAATTCCCCACTATTTGAATGCGGTGGTAATGTTTGTGATAACCGACAAAGGAATCCCAACCCGAAGGTTCGCGGTTCAAGTCCTGACAGGGACGCAAAAAGTACGCATTGCGTACTTGAGTCCCAAACGGGACGAAACAGCTGTCCAACGCCCTTTGGCGGTTATCACAAATATTTCCGCCGCATTTAAATGAGTTTTTTCTTCCTTAATAGAACTTCAAACATGTAACGGAACCATGTAATGACTGACCAAGAATACTGGATGGCTGTTTGTCCTTGTTTGGACTCGTCAGCCGTGCCTACTTACTGCTTTTGTGTCCTGGAAAGAAAGCTCAACCCTTCGGGTTTGGAGCCCAAAAACTTACACGGTAGCTTCACGGACGTAGGCGAACACTTTGATCGCATGGCTACACAAATTTAATTTCTAATCTTATAGCTTCATGACAAATTTACCATTCTCCAGACCCTGATGTCTGCAAATGCGAATGTTTCCGCCCCAAACAATTTTGATGGTTAGTCCGATTAGACAACTCGTGAGAGGTAGTTTCAACCTGATTGCGCCAAACCAAGTTAGATCTTACGTAAGGGCCGTACTCAAAAACAGTTCGTTATGAACGATCTACTTGTCGTTTTACTTGGATTTTCTTTTCCATCACATGTGGGTAGAATTGCGATAGCACTAAGCGATCAAAACCATTGCCTAAAAAACTCAATCCGTGATAAAAAGAATTAGATGTATCTAGGTAGATAGATTTACATATTCCAATGTTAATACCCCCAGTATTGACAATGGTCGACAATAGTTAAGTAGTGTGAACCATTAGGCTACCCATCTGGTAGGTCGTGAGTTTAGAATCCGCCACAGCTGCCCCATTCTCGCACTTATTGCTTCTCCATGACACTTTTATCCATTATTACTTAAGTCCCTGTATATTGGTCATATGTGTTGTGTATCAAACGATGACAACAAGGGAAGTTAGTGCCTTCTTGGAGATGAGCCGGGTCATATTCTTTCCCCTTTTCGTTCGCTTCTGAACTGAAAATAAGTTTTTCAGTCAAACGCTTTTGTTTCTTCAAGTTATGTTTCTTTACTTCTAGGCAAGACTTACCGAAGTCTCGTATGGAATCACTCGTTCCTTTTCGCTAGCCCCAATACCTTTTAATCAAATATGGAACTTTATTTCAGATCAACAACCGATGTAAATGGTGGATCCAGTTTGACTTTGACAACGATCCGAAATCGTGCAAAAGCGCTTATCACCTACGTGGGCCGCATCCCGTTCCGACTTCCCGGGGACGTATATGCCCGACTCACTCAGATGCATATGGAACTCGTGTAATCGACCGCTTTCCCGGCTCCTTACCTTATTCCTGTTGTTGGTAAATTTGCCTCCTTCAGTGGACTAATGGCACGTTATCAATGTACCATTTTTCACTATGAATTATATTCACTTTTCCAGATGTAAACAGTGTTCTCATCATTCGGTACCTCCACTGGATGGTAAATTTCCAGCGCTATTAATCGTAGGATAAAGATGTCTGTTGTGATCTTCAGGGATTTTCAGTTGACCCAACATGCCTATACTATTTGGACAGTCGCGCTCGTTTAGGTTGGGTCCAATGAAGTCGTCAGGTCGTTTATCTCGATCACCCGCTCTTCAACGTCATTGCTGCAAACTCGTTAGGTCCGCGTGCGCGCTTGGCCGCACCTCGCATTACCGCGCACCTCACACAATTGTTGAAGACGTTGCGCAATTGTCTCGGCAGAGTAACGCGTGCGATCCGGTGAACATATTCACTTGTTTCATGCAGGGAAAGTTGTTGATCATGGCGAACCAAACGCCATGGTGACCACGCGTTTAATTGGGTACGAAACGAGCATACTGGTTAAGTCTATCTTATCGTTTCGAACAGACAAGCTACTCGATCCGTTTTTGGATTAACAGTAATCTGTTGGTGCCATTAAACATAATACCAGCTTGATATTCAATAAGCGTACTCGGGCCAATTTTAAAGTATAACCGCTTATCACTCTCAAAGTTCTTTGTGCAAATTTCCAGTTAGCCCGTAGCCAGAAATAAGGATGGTGCGTGCGTAATTAAACGATGATTGAAAATTCTGATCACTAATTCAGAATGTACAATCTAATCTGAATGATCTGGCTCAATAAACGTCACACGTGTAATTGGTTTGTCTTATTTGTGATAGTCGGCCGAGACCATTCGAAAGCCCTTTCATACTTAGCGGGATTAGTCAGAACTGCTTCTCTGTCTCGGGCAGTGAGTACTTAGAAAGGAGTAAGGTTTCCGGATCACTACATACTGTACAGTGGCCGACCTCCGGGAGGGGAAAAGTCATCTTCATGGATATCCCGGATCGCAACAGCCTGCGGTCTTCGCAGATTGGTAACTAGCCGTACTTCCGGTAACGATTGCCGGAGACCGGGGTGTTCTGCTTCTCGTACTGTCCAACCAGCTTTCCACCGCGATGGTGAGTCAGTTTGTGCACGTAGACGTTCCCAAGGCAGCTTTGAACAATTTGTCTGATTTAGAAGGTTTATTTCAAACCACTGCGGACGTCTCCGCGTGAGCATGCGCGGTTTCTGACGGGTTCATTTGGGAGCTTACCCCTCCAACTGAATCCCAGTGTGCCTTACAGCAAGACAATGGGCCGTTACAAAGAAAACTCGCATTTTCTTCTATAGACTGATTCACTTTCTACACAAAAAAGGACTTAGCACCTAGGACGGGCTGAGTGGCGACTCGTTAACAGTTCTGCCGATGAACATTATTACGCGGTTTCCCAAAATCAAGCCGGATTGAGAGCGAAGTCGATTACGAGCGCTGGGAGTTTTAAGTGATTCACCGGAAATTGTGCCATATTCGAGGACATATGCGATTTCGTAATAAAACAAATTAGGGCTTTTACATGAATCAAGGGAATGGTGCTACGAATTTGGACAGAACGAAACGTGGTTTCAAACCAATCGAGCATCCAGATTGCTGTGTTTTTGGTGGGTATTTGTAGCTTCCAACGGTGCGTATTGTTGATTCCAGCGATCGACCCTTGGTGGGTCTAGTTGTCTCAATCCTCCGTATACGTTCCCAGCCGGGGTATTTTTGAAAATAGATAGATGAGACTCAGCGGTCTAGGCCTGGGCCAAGTTGCTATAGATTAGCACGAAGGACCCTGATCCTGACCATTGACACCTGGCGGAATTGACATACGATGTAAAATGTTGACACCTGGCGGATTCATAGAAAATACCTAACAGGAAACACCTATCTCTATCATACATCCACATCTGTAAACATCAAACCTTACCGGCTAGAGTGCGTGAGTGGTTTTTTAGCTCTCTACTCTTCAGTAGGCCGCTTCTGGGTAAACGGTTCTCCAGCACTCATCCAGGGCGGTCTTGAATGCCACTAAATTGCTGCATCTGACCACGTGTTCCGGCAGCCTATTCCACGGTGGGATCCCCTGTTGGTGAAGAACCTCACCCGAAGTTGCAGTCCACAGTGATTACGCTGTAATCTGAAGCTATGCCCCCTGGTGCCACTTGCCGAGATCGCAGAAAATAGTTTGTGGCAGCTTGAGACCGACAGTGTAACATGCTCGAGAGTTGTCACCAACTTTGGTCTTCCTGTTCCGCATGTATGGTTTCGCATGGTCGCAGGCATTGATTGCTAGGAACATTCCCTCGTGCATCCTCCTGTCTTGTAGCATAGATTTTGCCAGGATCTTCGATATCCTGAGACCGCTTCTTCAGCAAGGTTTTTCATCTTTGTTTAAGTCACTGCCAACTCTGGTGAAGTAACTTCACCTTAAACGGTGCGTGAGTTCAGTGCTACACGTTTGTTTGCTAAGCATTTTCGCTTTCAGATACTCCCAAGCTTAGTTAGGCTAAACTCCGGTACTTTTGGGGAACAATGTACTTTCCCTTGACTAACCCGTTGTTCTTCCTGATTCGTACCGGTTGATCGAGAAGCATGGGAGAATTAGAGATCCGATGGCTGTCGCAGATCGTGATATTGCATCTCGACGGGCCTCGGAGTCCGCACAGCGCTATAGCACTTTCGGCCGTGAGCTGTTAGCTATATATCTTGCTGTGCGCCATTTCCGACACGCCTTTGAAGGACATGAATTTACTAATTTCACCGATCACAAACGTCTTATTTTTGCTTTGAAATCTAATAATGATAGGTATTTGCCTCGAGAGGTCCCCAAGTTAGACTATGTCTCTCAGTTCACAACTGATATAAGACATTTCTGGCGCTGCAAATGTCGTGGCCGATGCCTTGTTACGCTCTGACTTAGTTTCAGAGTTACCAGTCATTGACCTAGAAAGAAGCTATACAAGGGTGTGCAATCCTGGACCCGGAAATAGGCTACCCGAGAGCCAAGAATATACTGAAGGAGAGGTTCGGCCAACCATGACACGAAACATGAGTGACGGGGTGTTAGCAGAGGCGAGGCGCACA